GAAAAAAAAAAAAAAAAAAAAAAAAAAAAAATCACATTCCTTTGGGTAATAACTTAGCGTGTTATCCTTCTAGATCTTTTTCTATACACACTAGTATAAACACTTCCTCCATACTTTTTTTTTACCAAAACTAGACCATACCATACAATTAATAACCAGCAATTTTCTATCAATTCTCACTTGTTCTATTTCAGGGTTTCTACTATACTTTGAGACCATATTTAGCTTTCCCTAACTAATCCAAACGAGTATCCAATCCATGATTACACAGTGCTTCCGGTTGTTATCTCTACAACTCTTCTATAATCTAGCACACTCCTCTTGTAATGACCTTGTCTTGTTGAAGAGAGCCAGTTATTTTTCTGCAGAATGCCCCACTTTCTACGTTTATGTGGTTATGTCCTCATGTTATTATTTAGCTTATTCCTCCACTAAGGAGAGTGTATCCACTGAATTTCCCAAAAGCTTGAATGTTCTATCTAAAGCTTTGATGAATCCAAACCACACCTTTTTGGCTAGTCTATATCATAGGTGATTTTGTACACTCAGATTGCAACACATCAGAAACCATAATACTAACTCACTATTAATATGCTAAGATTCATCTATAGAATGGAGTGGTGATTCTGACCTCTCCCATTGTACACAGTTATATTTTCCCCCCCGTGGCCACCAAGTAATTCGTGTGGTGCTACTTTGGTATTATATGAATGTCCAGTTACTTATCAACCACTCATCTAATGGTTTTAAAAGTGAATTAGTAACCACTCTTCCTTAAAGCAATAATTCAGTAGGCTTGTGACAGGAATACATTCTTGAATAAAACAGAACTTTCTCTTATTAAATGGGCCTATTTGGAATACTCTAAAAATATAGTTTCTTAAAGTTCTCATATGCTATGGTTTGAATGTGTCTCCCAAATTTCATGTGTTGATGGTATTTGGAGGTGGGGCCTTAGGGAAGGAATCAAAATTAAATAAGGACATCAGGGTGGGACCCCCATGATGCGGCTGGTGGCTTTATCAAATTAGAAACAGAGACCTGAGCTGGCATGCCCTCTCGCCATGTAACGCCCTCTGCCATGTTAATAATGCAGCAAGAAGGCCCTCCCCAGATGCAGCCCCTCAACTTTGGACTTTCCAGCCTCAGAACTATAACTTAGCAGAAGGAAGAAAATAATAAAGATTAGAGCAGAGATAAATAAAATAGAATAAGAGGAACAACAGAGAAAATCTACAAAACCAAAAGTTGGTTCTTCGGAAAGTTCAACAATATTGACAAAACTTTAGCTAGACTGACTAAGAAAAAGAGAGAAGATTCAAGTTACTAAAATCGGAAATGAATGTGGAGATGGTACTGCCAATTTTAAGAAATAAAAACGATTATGTGAAAGAGGCTGCACAGGAAAGAAAAAATAATGTATGATTACACTTATGAGGTGCCCAGAATAGGCAAGTGCATTGAAACAGAAAACAGAACTGAAGTTATCAGGGGCTGGGGAGAGAAAGTGGAATGTTAGTGCTTTAATGGGTACAGAGCTTGTATTGGGGATAACGGAAAAGTTCTGGAAATGGATGATGGTGATGGGTGCACAACACTGTCAATGTAATTAATGACACTGAATTGTACCCTTAAAAATGCTTAAAATGGTAAATTTATGGTATGTGTATTTTGCCACAATTTTAAAAGTCACTGTAAAAAAAAAAAAATGCAAGTCCTAACTTAGTGCTACATAGGCAGCTTCCATGATTCATCTGAAAGCCAATACAGAGTGACACCGTGCTTGAGATGACAGGCTCTAAAGCAACATGACCCAATTCAATCCTGGTTCTACCCTTCATAGCTATGCAACCTTAGGCAAGATGCTTCATCCCTTTAGTTAGTCTCCACATCCAAATGGAGAAAAGAGGGTCTTTATCACAGAATCGTTGTGAAGATTGATGAGTTAATTCATACAAAATACTGAGAGGTCAATAAGGATGAACTACTACTGTTATTAGCTATCTAAACAATCAGTCACACCCCCAAAATTTAATATAAAATGCCTTTAATCTGAATCTTTTTTGGTGAGTCACGTGAACTTCTTGTTTAAAATTGCGGCTACTAGGAAACTTAAATGTACAGAGGGTTGACAGTGTTCTGTCTGCTCCAAGTAAAATTCATAATGGGCATGCATTCCTGTTATACACATCTACTTAAAATTTAAAAAATACTTCATCTCAAAGGAGCACTATATACTTACCAACTGAACATAGAAATCAGTAGGACTATTTATATGACAAACCATAACTGAAACCTCTGTCATTTCTTTAGGCAAAATAGGTGGATGATAGCATAAAGTCATATTTTTTTCAGAGTGACTTCTTGGTGACTGTGACTTAAACCTAATTAAAAGCATAATTAAAAGCATAAGCAGGAGCCATTTTCTTAAAGTCTCTCTTCTCTCAGTGACTTGATTTAAGAAAGGACATATATATATATATATATGTACTGATTTATTTACCAAAAGTATTCCCTTTCCAATTTCTTTCTTCTAACATAAAACATGTCTTGGAATTGTCTTTAAATATCAAACCAGCTTAAATGAAATGTCAAGTCTCAAAACTCAATAATTAGCCTTCACATTTGTTTTGGGACATTTTAGAGCTGGGCCTGCATGCCACACTTAGGCTCAATGCTGTTTCTACTCTAACTTTCAACTGCACTGATAGCTGTGGTCTGTGGAGTGCTCAGTGAAGCCAGGTGAGGGGTCTCTGAGGCCCCTTCCAGTTCCAAGACTCTACTTTTATTTTTGTGGAATGGAACCTACTTGGGTCACTTCCACAGTCACTGAATGACCAAAGACAGAAAGTAAGGATCTTCTACAATTCCATGGTTACTTAAGTCATCTTAATTTTTACTCATCAGAAATGAGAGCAAAAGAAACCTTAAGTATTAATTCTAAATTCATAAATTAAATACGAAGTAGTGATCATGAACTCATTCCAAAGGTTAGAAAATTTAAGTTAGGAACAGTTAAACTATAATTCTTAAAACCTAACTGAGCTGTTTGTGAAGTTATGAAGAGTCAAGAAATGTTTACTATCTACACATTTTCAATTTTGAGCTACCTTAATTTCTCTACTTCCTTAAACCAAAGGATCTAAATGCAGTTTTCACAGACAACAACTGTACTTAGAAAACCCTACTAACAATATTTTAACCTCTTAGGGTATGCTGAGATTCACTTTAGAGACCACGGTTTTTACAGGCAAAATCTGTTATTCCTATTTATAGCAATAATCTCAAAGAATATTTAAGTTTTATAGGTTACTTACCTTGCTAGTTCCATAAAAACTAATGCATCTCTAAGAGACACAGGCATATCACTGCTTATTTTATTTGTTGGTGGTTTCTGCAGATCTACAATAAGCACACCATCTTCTTCTCTAAAAACTTTCATTAATACAGCCTTGTTATTTACCATTTTCAAAAATTCCACTTTAGCTACCTTTTCCCAGCCTTCATCCTGTGGAAAAAAGTAAAATTCCAAGGTAATCAGTGATTATAATTAGCTCTAATGTTACAAGGTTCTGGATTTAGCTTTGTACCAACCACAGTCTGCAACTTTTAGCAAAGGCACTGAACCAACCACAGACACTAAGAAACACATGAGGCCATAAACCTAAGGGCAGTCTTTCGGTACACACGTGTGCATATTTTGATTTTATTATTAATATGTTCTCGAGTCCATTAGCAGTTTCATCTTAGAATTTAGTTTCACTTTTGAATATTAATATGAAGATTGTAAAAATTTTTTAAAATAAAAGAAATAAGTATTGCTAATGAATTTTCCACTGAAACGATGAAAATTTAAAAGGTAATTTTGAAAGTATAATGTAAGCCTGTAATAAAATCAAGATATTTATAATCATCATCAGTTTATCTAGCTTCCACTGCTATCAACATATGAAGCATACGCTACTTATATGATAAGAAAAAATACTCACCAACAGGGAAAAAAATTTTAAGCTGATCTTTGAACATTTAAGTATCTATACCTAAAGGAAATTTCAGGGGTCAAAACCACAAATTCCTTAAAAACAAAAAATCCCCAGCTTTCTAAAGTTTTTATGATTATAAAAGCAAGGCCTACTCAGCAAAGAAAATGCAAAAAATGCAAAAGATAAAACTAAAAACAAAATAATCACACCACCTTAAGGAAAACACCAGTGCTAATATTTTTATGTATTTCCTTTTACTGTTTTATTCATTTGTTTATTCTTTCAAATAGTTGTTGAATGTCTACTATGTGGCAGGCGATCTGGGAATACAATGATGAGCACAGACAGACTCCTGCTTTCACAGACCTTATAACAGTAGAACTGCTTCACGTAATGTTGTTATACACAATTCCTGTCTTCTGGGAGTTTTCAATCTTGCTGGGGAACAGATATTCATGAATAATACAAAGTAGAACGCAATACAGACCATAAATAGAGAAATGAGGAAAAGTGCCATGGAAATAGGGAAGAAATGTATAGAAATACACACCATACCATATTTCAAACTTCTCTTTATATAGTTGACTCCAAAATTTAGTGGTTTACTTGGACATTTCACCTATCATTATGCTCATATATGCTTATTCAACTCAATTTCCCATTAAGAATATTTTCAATTGTGGAAGCTGAAGTCCATTTCTTTTTATATTGGCATTAATAGCTTATTATGCAAAATGTATTTACTAAGGTAACCGGTTCCTTGAGCCTACACGCAGCAATCAGTTTGGTAATACATAGCTAAAACTGGAATAATTAGCCTCTGAAGAAGAAATAATTCAAGTCTCTTACTGAATTCTGTGGAACAATGTCTTTCAATGAGCATGGTTGTGCTAATGGCTGGATTTCCTTCAGCAGTCCTTCAATATTTGGTTCAGACTTCCTCAGAACTAGACATAAGTCATTTAGCACAATATGCTGCTCAGCAATGTGTTCTGGTCTCACATGGGTATCATCAACTCTAGGAGGAATTCAAGTAATTTTTATTAAAAATAATGCTTCAAACTTGATCTTGCTTTCTTCCATAAAAGGTATACATTTCTAAGGATACTTACCTTAAGTTAAATCTTCTAGAAAGTTATATTCCAGATTCATACTTTCTTACTACACAGATACAGTACATACATAATTTCTTACCACAGTCACATTTTCTTACTACATAGACTTAATTTAGCTTCACAGACACTGTTTTTATTCATAGAATTAAACCTCAGCTACCTTTATTTGAACTGTCATTCATATAACCATTCATTTCAAGCTTAAATGGGAATAATTAACCTCCCCCATATAAGCCTATTTATTTATAAAGCTATGAAAATTAAACAAAGTGACCTTGCTATAGTTAATACTGATGCTTATTACAGAAACATTTCAGTTTGTTTTATTTTCCTAGAAACCAAGGAAAACACTTTTGAATACCTAGAGTGAGTTAGACAGCATAACACTTTAACAGGCATTATAGAAATCCGATTAAAAATTTAACTCATTTAGGACCGGCCCGTGGCTCACTCGGTAGAGTGCGGTGCTGATAAAAATTTAACTCATTCATTTGCAGCTACCTGTAATGCTTCATTTAAAAGAATTAGTTTTGTGCATTATTCCCTGCTTCGAAGCAGCATAGGAAGAACACTTAAGTTTGGAGTACATCAAAAAGTTCCTTTTCCAAGCTCCCCATCTAGTAATGTTAACAAATGATAATATTTTACTTATTAAGACAAATATAGAACAAATCAATAAAGTGTATGCCTGGAAAATGAAGAATGCCAAATTAATCCTCTTTACTCCTTCCTAATTTCCTCTATTCTTTAATTCTTCCTCCCGCAAAGGTTTCTAAGCAGGCCAGGAACACATAATAATTATAAAATACCATACCCTGTGACAATTAGGACCTCAGAATTTCCAAAGTCTACCATAAATATCTGAATTAGTGCAACTTCACGGACTGAGAATTTGGTCGGGCCACAAGATTCTCTAATATTTTTACTTTCTATTGGAATTAATTCAGTGATAGTTCCTCGACACCACATTCTGTTTTCAGTACTGTTGACAAATATTCTTGCACCTAAATAACGAAGGAGACAAATCATTATCAATGTTTACAGAGAAAGACACCTAATAAGTTCTAATTTACAAATATGTACATTAATTAGTTCAACCACTAAGAAGTCTTTTTTTTTTTTT